GGGCGCTCCTCAGCCTGGATTTGACTGACGGTCTCAGGCTCCACCAGGGGGCAGAGCAGCAGGGCCTGGCCCTTAGGTCCGGGGGAGCTGGGTAGGCGGAGGGCCCTGCCCCAGCTCTGCGGGTCCCTGGGGCCCTGGGCTGCAGGCGCCCTGGCCAGGTCTCTGGTTTCGTCCTGAAAATCCCTCGCGGTCACCCTCACCTCTCCTGACAAGCGCCGGTCCAGAGCGCCCAGCCCAGGAGCGGTACCCACGCTGCCCCCGGGGCAGGCCTAGTGACCGTGGGCCCACCACTGCCATTCTCCCCTGAACTCTGACCTGTCCCGCCCGTGCGCGTCACTGACCAACCGCCCAGCTCCAGCCTCTGTCTCAAGCTGGCCTGTGTCTCTGCCCCCCGAGGCCTTGTGCCCCACAGCTCCTGGGGCCAGTCTCCTGAGACTACGAGTGTTCACGGGCCCAGAGAGAGAGAGAGGGCCTCAGTTTCTCTGCGCTCCCCTGGGCCTGGAGCCCTGCCCAGCACCGCCCCGCCCCGGGTTCCACGTCCCACCGACCTCATACAGAGACATGCCGCGTGCTGTGTCCAGGCTCTTGGGCCTCTTGGTCTGAAAGAGCAGAGAGCCCGGTCACCTGGGCCAGACGCCGCCTGGGTCCCTGTTCCCCCCGCCAGCCCCACTCACCAGCCTCCGCCTCTCCAGACACACGTCGAAGCTCCTGGCCCGGTTGGGCACCAGCTTCCTCAGAGGCACCCGCAGCTCTCCCAGGGGAGGCGCCCGCCTCCGTCGCCGCAGCCACGGGTCTTCACACACACACAGCCTGGGGGCCACCCAGGTCAGCCTGGCCAGGCCAGCCCCCCGCCCCGGCCCCTGCCGCCTACCCCCGTGTGGCCCAGACCCCATCCTCACCGCAAGGTCTTGCGCCGGGCGTCCTGGAGGGTGAACCCATGATAGGTGAGCGTCTCCTCCCAGACAGGCCCCCGTGTGCCCCGAACCGTGCGCGTCCGCAGCTGGCTGGCCTGAGGGCCAAGCAGGGAGGGTCAGAGTCCTCCTCGGCCCCGGCGCCCCACCTGGGCGCCAGCAGTGGGGGGCCCCCTGCCTGAAGGGGAGGCCTTGGGGAGGAGGGGCGTGGCAGACCAGGGGGGCGCTCCAGGCCGGGCCCCTGGCCGAGGGGCAGCGGTGGGGGCCTGCGTCTTGCACTCACCTTGCTGGCCCCGGGCAGCAGGTTGGCTTTGACGAAGGTGTCCACGGAGCCCGAGGCCAGCGGCTTGAGGCCCTGGGAGGGGAGAGTGGCTGTGGGAGAGGCCCGGGGCCCAGGCCCGAGCCCCGGGGACGCCGCCCGCCCCCTCCTCACCTTGGCACGGTGGGCCGTGCAGTGCAGGGAGCTGTTGCCCGCGTCAAACAGGAGCGTGAACTCAAGGGTGCCGAGGGCGGCTAGGGGCAGGCGGCAGGCAGGTCAGCATCTGCGTCAGCCCCCACCGGGCACCATGCCTCCTGGCCCTCCCTGGTCGGAGGCCTGGCCTGCCCCAGACCCTTCCTGGATGGGCAGAGCCCAGAGTGTCCCCCCGTCCCCCCGTGCCCACTCACTGCTGTCGTCTGAGTCTCCCTCTGGCTCTGGGTCCGGCTGGGGCTGGGGTGCAGAGCGGACGGGGGTCACTGGGGGGCTTGGGTCTGGGGGGCGCAGGGCAGGCTCAGCGGTGGGGTAGAAGTGTGGGAAGTAGTGGGAGATGAGGCAGATGGGGCGGATGGGGCCCGGGCTCACGTCGATAGCCATGTGCTCCTGCATGCTCACCCGCCCCCGGCCCGCCATGGGGGCACCGACGTGGGCGGGGACTCAGAGGAGCCCCCGAGGACCGCAGATGGGGGCACGGCACTGAGCCAGCCAGTCAGGGCAAACGGGCATCACTGAGGGCGTCGTGGGGGCTCCTGGGTGGCAGCCAGGACCTGAGGACAGAGCACAAGGTCAAGGCTGGTGGGGTGGGGGCCTCCAGCCCGGGGCGTGGGCACCTCGTGTGTCGGCAGCTAGGCCGGCGGGGCCACTTACCGCTCGGAGAGCCCCTGCACCTGCCTTGGGTGGCTGCTGGGTGCCTGACTGAGGTGACCCGTGAGAGCCAGCGGGTGGCCGTGGGGGAGGCGGAAGGGGCGGGACTCAGGGCCCCCCCAGAGCCCAGGAGCCCGCAGCTCCCTGCCTGCACCCCAGGGGTCCCTCCCCCCACCGCCAGTTCGCACTCTGTTGGAGAGTTATTTTTACCACCATCATGTGGCCCTGCTTCCAGGTGAGGAGGCTGGAGGGCCAGAGGTTGGAGACAGGAGGGGGAAGGCAACCTGATCCCCTTGCCGCTCAAGCCTTTAAAAGATCAACCAATCGCTTCGGCTCCTCTCCCCCTTCTCCCAGCTTGGAATAAAATCCTAACCCACCACTGAGGCTTGGCCCCTCCCTACGGCCCCCTGAATGGTGGGCCCCTCGCCCCCACATCCACATGGCTCCCCCGGGTTTCCTTGAACACCCCAAGCTCTGTGCATGTGTTGCTCCTTCTGACTGTTGTTCTGTCGCTCAGTCGTGTCTGACTCTTTGGGACCCCATGGACTGCAGCACGCCAGGCTTCCCTGTCCTTCCTTCACCATCTCCAGAGATTGCTCCAATTCAGGTCCTTTGAGTCAATGATGCGCCTTCTGATAGGGAGAGACTAAGGATAGTTAAACAAGCAGTTGCAGAAGTCCTAGTAGGGGACTAGAGACACAGGGAAACCGAGGGAAGTCGGGGACCGCTGCAAGTTACTGATCACCCGGAAGAGCTGTCAGAACCTCATGGAATGGAGCCAGCTTGCTTAACTATAAAACCACAAATGGGGGCATGAGATATGCCCCAGGTCATTAAATGAAAGAAAAAATTATTCTGCTGATTTAAGTAAGTGCTGAGATAGTCCTGGTTTGACCTTCTAGGGTCAGACACTCTCCTGTCCGATGTGAAGGAGGAGCTGGTGATGAAAAGTGGAAGTTTTTCAGTCGTGTCCAACTCTTTGCGACCCCATGACTCCATGGAATTTTCCATGACAGAATACTGGCATGGGTAGCCTATCCCTTCTCCAGCGGATCTTCCCAACCCAGGAATCGAACCGGGGTCTCCTGCATTGCAGGCGGATTCTTTACCACCTGAGCCACAGGGAAGCCCCCTAGTGATGAAAGCCTAGGGTCTGCTTGGAGAATGAGGAGGCAGTCTTTCCCCCTCTTCCCAACTCTCCTTCGATTATAAAAATGTAACCCACTTAATCCTTGGGGCAGAGCCTCCTCTCTCACAAGCGTCCTATATTAATAAATATAATTTTTAAAATTTATTTTATTTATTTTTAATATACTTCTTGCCTAGTATTTTGCCTCTCTCTGAATTCCTTCTGTGCTGAAACATGAGACCCTGAGCCTCAGTAAGCTGAGACACCAGGTGAGTGACTCCAGTTATAAGACTATGGGCTCAAGTCCTAATCTGGGTTGCACTTTTGCCCCAGTTCCCTCCCTTGCCCTTTGACCTGGCCTGCTCCTGTTTATCTGTGGTCTCAAGGTCATTCTCTGCAGGGGAATGTGGCTGCCTTTTGCCTGCTCACGTTCCCTTTCTCTTTCCAAGGGTCCTTTGGGGGCCACCCCTTCCCTACTCTCATTCTAGAAGGTTCACCCTGTTCCCCAGGCCTGTGCCCCAGACCTGGCTGATCAATGAATTCCAAGTCCAGCAGCCAAGTGATAGGCTCAGGGAAGGTTGTGTGATCCAAAGTCAGCCAAGAAAGTGTAAATCTGGGATAGACTGGCCCAGAAAGAGAAGCTGTTTTCTGTTGATAGGATGCTGGTACTGTTCTGTCCTACAGCTGTTGTCTTCTCCTCACCTCTCATCTCTGGGGAGTGGAGAATATTCCTGAAAGTGAAGTTGATACAGTGGAAAGCACAGAAAGAAGAGCGCCCTGGAGCCCCTGGATCCAGCTACGCCTAAAGCCATCTATCTATGGAGTTTGTAATCACCATTCCTCCAGATGGTGACCGCAGCCATGAAATTAAGACGCTTGCTCCTTGAAAGAAAAGTTATGACCAACCTAGACAGCATATTTTAAAAAGCAGAGGCATTACTTTGCCAACAAAGGTCCGTCTAGTCAAGGCTATGGTTTTTCCAGTGGTCATGTATGGATGTGAGAGTTGGACTGTGAAGAAAGCTGAGTGCTGAAGAATTGATGCTTTTGAACTGTGGTGTTGGAGAAGACTCTTGAGAGTCCCTTGGACTGCAAGGAGATCCAACCAGTCCATCCTAAAGGAAATCAGTCCTGAATATTCATTGGAAGGACTGATGCTGAAGCTGAAACTCCAGTACTTTGGCCATCTGATGTGAAGAACTGACTCACTGGAAAAGACCCTGATGTGGGAAAGACTGAAGGTGGGAGGAGAAGGGGATGACAGAGGATGAGATGGTTGGATGACATCACTGATTCAATGGACATGAGTTTGAGTAAACTCTGGGAGTTGGTGATGGACAGGGAGGTCTGGTGTGCTGCAGTCCATGGGGTTACAAACAGTCAAACGTGACTGAGCGACTGAACTGAACTGAAATCCTCCTTTGGCAAAGTCAGCCACTGGGTGGCGTTTTCTATCACTTGTCCTATCTAATACTACCCAGTCCACCAAGTCAAGGTCAGACTGCCCACCTCTTCAAGTCACAGAGATTTACAAGATGGATATGTAATTCCATTACACATCCGTGAGTAATTAATGTGTAATCACACGATTATCTATGTGACCTGTCTAAAATCTGAGACTGAGCACCCGTAGAGGGCAGGGTAGCATCTGGCTGGTGCAGATGTGGCCCCAGCACAGCACCCGGCACGGGGAGAGCCTGGCACGTCACCGGTTTGCAGTAACATGCAGGGCTCCTCTCTGGATGCTGCTGCCCAGCACAGGGTGGGCCAGGCTCGGAAGACAGTTCTGCAGTGGCTGTAGTGGCTAGGAGTTTGGGCTCTGGAGTCAGACAGGGCCTGGTTCAAATCCCAAACTGGGGTGACCTTGGGCAAGGTGTCTGCCCCCCCGATCCCATCTCACTACCCAGGGACAGCAGTGGTCTCGCCTCACAGGGCCGTGGTGAGGGTGAAATGAAAGAAAAGACTCCAGACACACAGTATGCGCACATAGCAAGTGACAGCGTGATTATCCCAAGGTGCCCCAGCCAGCAGGCCAGCTGTCCCATGGAGTCTGCCCAAGGTCAGGGCTCCAGTGCAGAAGATGCAGTTGCCACAGTGTTGGGAAAGACTCTTTATTCAGTCCTGGAGAGCAGCCGGCCTGGCAGGGCAAAGGCAGGGCCCGCTCAGGGCCAGGCCTTCAGCCCCGGGGCAGCTCCGGGCTGGCCAGGCGGGGCTGGTAGACACCAGGGGCCAAAAGCTTCAGGGTGAACTCGGTGATGACGGCTGTGAGCCCCCAGACCCGGTGCGGCCCGTGCAGGAAGACAGGCAGCGTGTACTGGAAGTGGCCACCGCGGCAGAAGTGGGTGTAACCTTGGTTCTGCTCCTGCAGGAGATGGGCCAGGGGCAGGGCGAACACTTCATCCACCTGTGGGCAGGGGGTGACGAGAGGGCAGACAGAGTGCTGGCTACTGCAGCCTCCCCCATTGGGACAACCTGCCTCCCCACCCCAGATGCCCCCACTCACCTCCTCGGGGTTGGGCCTGAGGCTCTGGGGATCCAGCGGGCCCACACCGGCCAGCACTGGCACCACTGTGGCCTTTTCCTGTGGCAGGAGTGGGGCAGGCCGTCAAGGCAAGGAAGGCCTTGGCAGGGCTTTGGGCCAGGGGAGCCTTGGGGGAGGCCTCTGGGGCCTACAGCCATGCAGGCCAGGTCCACCCAGCCCTGCTCCTGTACTTGCTCCAGCCATGCGGCCTGGCTCAGGCCCCCTCAACACACTAGACCCACCCGGGCCTCTGGGCCATTGCTCTCCCTTACTTTTAGCACCCTCAAATCTCCCCTGCCTAGCCTGCGACACCCTCCCCAACCTCTGTCCACCAAGCCGAGCAGAGCTACCTCCATCCCAGGACTGAGCCTCAGGATCCCCCTTGAAAGGGGAATCAAATACCCCTGGCCCCTTCCCCATGGGTGTGGGAGGCTGGGACACGAGAGCCGGGCAGGTTGTCTGGGACCCCACCGCCCTTGGTGACTGCCACAGTCCCCACGGCCACCGTCCTGGTCCCTGAGCACCCCGCTCCTAGCCCGGGGTGAGCAGACGGGCCCAGCGGAGTGTATCCCCCTTGAAAGGGGAATCAAATACCCCTGGCCCCTTCCCCATGGGTGTGGGAGGCTGGGACACGAGAGCCGGGCAGGTTGTCTGGGACCCCATCGCCCTTGGTGACTGCCACAGTCCCCACGGCCACCGTCCTGGTCCCTGAGCACCCCGCTCCTAGCCCGGGGTGAGCAGACGGGCCCAGCGGAGTGAGTGCCTGAAGGCCTGAAGGGCTTACCCGGTCGTGCACCGGCCGCAGGACTCCCCACACCTGCTCCTCGGGCACAGCCAGGCCCAGCTCCTCCTGCGTCTCCCTCAGGGCCGTGTGCACCACATCCCGGTCAGCGGGGTCACACTTGCCACCTGGGAAACTGAACAGGCAGACGGAGCCTGCTTCTTGGGCCACTGGGTGGGACCATGAAGGGCTGGGGGTGGCTGCTGCGGCAGGGACTCGCCTAAAAAAAAGTCTCTGCCCCTAGTTTGCAGAGGGCTGGGCAAACCCCAGGACCTCTGCAGGCTCGGTTTACCTCCATGAACAACAGGGGTAAGGGGGAGAAGCCTTGTGCCTCCCGGGGCCCAGCTATGCTAACTGGGCTTATCATGTGTGGCCCCAGAGGTGCTGACATTGACCCTAGGGTGTCCCCAGTTTCCGCCGGGGGGGAGGGAGGGGGGCGGGGCCTGGGGGAAGCCAGGTAGCCCCACCCCGGGCACCCCCTTGGTTCCCGGAGGCAATCCTCCCTCAGTAACCGGGAAGGGGCGAAGTTTTGTCTTTTTAGTGTGTGCGCTTGGTCGCTCAGTCGTGTCCGGCTCTTTGTGACCCCGTGGATTGTATCCCGACAGGCTTCTCTGTGCATGGGGATTCTCCAGGCAAGAAGACTGGAGTGGGTTGCCATGCCCTGCCCTCCTCCAGGGGAATCTTCCTCACCCTGGAATCGAACCCCAGATCTCCTGCATTGCAGGCGGAGTCTTTAGCGTCTGAGCCACCAGGGAAGCCCAGGAATCCTGGAGTGGGTAGCCCATCCCTTCTCCAGGGGATCTTCCCGACCCAGGAATCGAACCGAGGTCTCCCTGCATTGCAGGCGGAGTCTTTTATCAGCTGAGCTGTCCCCCACCCGCGCTTCGAGCAATCCGCGCGGCGGCGCCGGGGCAGGAGTACCTGCGACGCCAGGTTCCGGGCGGAGGGATGCGGATTGTTGATTCCCGCCGCAGTCGGCTGGCCGACGGGCTCTACTTTAGACCCATTCTGTAGAGGCGGAAACCAAGGCTCGCGGAGGCTAAGTGCTTTGCCCACGACCCGGCGGTCTCCGCGGTTTCGCGGCGCCCTCTTAGAAGGGAGAGGAGGTCCCAGCAGGTGTACCTGACGTCACCCTTGTGCCTCCCGGCCAGGCGGCTGGACCGCAGCGTGTAGAGGAGCGCCGGGACCCCGCGCACCGAGCACAGAGGTACGAGGACCGCGGCCGCCGCAGGCCGCGCGCGCAGCCGGGCCGTGGCTCCCGCCAGCAACCGCCGGCAGCGCTGTTCGCCCTCCGCCGACAAGCAGTCGGGCAGCATGTCCGGTCCAGCGCGGCGGGGACACCGAGGGCACCGGGCGGCGCGAGGGAAGAGGCTCGGGCGAGTACACTTGGGGAGGTCTCTCGGGAACCTGGGGGGCGGGCCGTGGGAGGAGTTTACCCGCCTTGGTGGGGAGAGGTAGGGGCACAGGCCACGCCCACGGGGGCGGGGCCCGACTAAGGGGCGGACCCAGGCAGGGGAGGGGGCCCTCTGAGAGTTGTGGGGAGGGTTCGGGAAGGGGCGGGGCTCGATAGCCCGGGCTTCCGGCAGGGGCGGGCCTGGGCTTCCGGCAGGGGCGGGCCTGGGCTTCCGGTAGGGGCGGGCCTGGGGCGGGGCTGGCCCGACGGACCTGGAGAGTGCCCCCTGCCTAGTGCAACTGGACTCGTGTCTGGCCGGCGACTGGTCTCGGCCGTTTTGACCGCCGGGTTTGAGAGTCGAGATGTCTGACTGTTGAGGCCCCGCGTTTCTCCACGCCCGCAAGTGCTGCAGGGTGTTTGGAGTCGGCGTTTATGGGTTAGAGATGCCTGGGGCCGCGGGAAGGAGTGCCCAGCCCTTCCCACCCTCCGGGCCCTGTCTCCTGGTTGCGCTGAGTGGCATGCGCTGCGCCCTCTCGCTCCAGGGGACCCATTCCAGCCCCAGACCTTTCCCCACCTCCGGGAGCTGGCCTCTGCTCCCCTCCCGTCTCCTCCGCAACTTCTCTTATAGGTGCTGGTCACTTTCTCTAGAAGCTCTCCTGCCTGGAATTTTGATTGAATTCTCAAACTCCTCATGTCACCCCCATCTTGACCCCTGTGGTCACTACCTGTGGCATGCTGCACCCCTCTGCCAGACTGCCCCCCCCCCCAAGGACTAGACACCCCGGTCTTGCACACAGCACCTAAATGTGGAATGGCAGGTGTCCCATGCTTTGCTTCGATTTTGAGCAGTGCCTCCCTGAGCTGCAGTTTCGGTCCTCATCTGGGCAGGCAAGGCAGAGGGCAGGAACACAACCTCCCTCACAGCCCTGCCACTCAGCTTGTGTTGCCACCTTTACCATGACTCTGCTCCCTGGGACGCCAGCAGCACGGAGCAGAGCTTTGTGATGTCTGCAGCCCAGACTCTGGGGTGTGGGCTTTCCTGAGGCCCTCCACCCTGACCTCCAAGGACAGAAGTGCTCTGACCACCCATTCCAAATGGTTTAATGTTGGAGGGAAGAGAGAGGCAAAGCAGGATTTGGAGGAGTCGCCCCCAAAGCAGAGGGGGCAGCTTGGAGATAGGGGGTCCAGTTCCAAGCCTGGCACCATCCCAGCCTGGAAACTCTGGGCAGATCGCTTTCCTCTCTGGGCTTCCACCTGCTCTGCTCTCCTGGTCAAGGGAGGGGTGGTGGTCTCTGCAGAGGTAAGGCTGAAGAGAGTGGGCTCCAGGATGAGAGGACTCTGTCCACAGGGTCCCCACCGTCACTGCGGGTCCTGGCCAGGCCCCAGGCACATTGCAATGGGGGAGAGGAGCCCCTGCCCCGCTGGGAGGGGCAGGCCCCCCTGGTCCCTATTAGCCTGGATATTGGGGAGGGGGTATGGTGTCGGTCGGGCCCTTGGTTGGACGGGGCTTGAGGCTCCAGGGTACAGGCCCTGGTAGGTGAGGGGCGGGTAGGTGGCTGGGGCCAGCAAAGCCTCAGTGGGGGCCAGCAGCTGATGGTGGAGCCTGGCGGGGATCCTGGCGGTGAAGGCTTTGTTGGGGTCTGAGAGGGGAGGATGTGGTCTGAGTGGAGCCCAGGCCTGCCCTCACTCCTTCAGCCCGCCGGTCCGAGAGCCTGCTGCTCCCCTTTCTCAAGTTGCCCACGGCTTAGCCTTTGTGCCTGCTCTTGCCTCTGCCTGGACTTTCTTCCCCTCCTCCTCCCTCCTTTTCAGTCCTCCAAGGCCCAGCCCAGAAACCACCTCCTCCAGGAAGTCTACCTGACCTCCACCCTCACCCCCCACCACCACCCCTGCTCTCCGCACCTTGTCCCTGCCCAACCGTTCTCCCTGCCCTGGGTCCAAAATTGTCTCAGAAATTTCTGCTTCCCCTCTCTGTCCGCACAGATGCCCGGTGAGCTTGCTGAGCAGTCTACAGGTCCTTCCTGGGAGCCCCGTGGCCCTCTCCCCTCCCTTCCTGCCCGCTTAGCAGGCTCCAGTCCCACCGTGTCTGTGAACCTGGGGGCTGACCTTTCTCTCGCTCATTGGAGCCTTTCAGCAGACAGGGGCCGAGGCTGCTGCGACTCCGGGTCGGGATGCTGAGCAGGGGCCGTGGAGATATAGGCCTGGAGGTGGGGCAAGCAGGAATGGGGACAAGGGTCACGGTGGGGAACCCAGGCCAAGGGTCATGGTCTGAGTCAGGCAGTGGGACCCCAGGACAAGCCAGTGGCTGTGACCCTGAAAGAAGGGTCAGGAGCTGAGACCTTAAGAGATGCCTGGGGATAGAAATGGGGTGAGGGGATGGGGCCAGATGGTACCAGGAGTCTGGGTCACTCTCCCGAAAGCCCTTGGCAAATGGGTTGCTGGCAATTTTCAGCTGGGTGATCTGCAGAGGAGAGAGTGTAGTTAGAGGTCAGCCTTGAGCTGGGGAGAGGCTGTGGGGCCCCAGGCTAACCACCCTCTCCTCCCTGGATCCCCCCAGTCTGGAGGCCCTGGGCCTCTCAATCCAGGAACCACAGAGCCAGTGGGCATGAAGGCAGGGGAATGACTGTGGGCTAATGCCCATGGAGTCCCGGAAGGACAGACGGGCAGGGCTCTGTGTGCCTGTCAGGCCTAAGAACCTGGTCCTTCAGTTTCTCCCATGTGATGGGCTGGGGGAGTGAGGTTAGGAACTGTGCCTGACGCACCCGGTGGTTCTGATATGCTGTGACAGCCGTGAACTGGGTCTCCGTGAAGATGAAGGACTTGAAGTTCTCCTGGGCATAGCGCTCGCTGTCTTTGCGTGGGTCCACAAAAACCACGTGGAAGCGTGGCTGGTAGCGATGCATGGAGTTGAGGATGATCTGTGGGGCGGGCGGTGGGCGGGCGGTGTGGGGCGGGGCAGCAGCCAGCCCTCGCTGAGGCTGAAGTGCTTCCTCCAGCCACCCCGCCTCCCCATACCTCCCATCTCATAAGTGCTACTGCCAGGTGTAAGGATGTGAGTTTGCGGTTCTGAGTCAAAGGCCGCTTGTCGTCTGAGCGTCCGGGCGACTTGGCCTCTCACTCCCACATCCCAGCCATCACAGGGCCATCTGGGATCTGACCACCTCTCCTACCCCATGGCCTCCACGCCGCCCGGCCACCACCATCTTTCTCCTGGATTTCTGCAGCTGCCTCCCAGCTGCGCTCCCTGCCTCCTCTTGGCTCCTCTGCCCATCTTCCGCACAGCAGCCCCAGTGAGCTGCAGCTCGGAACCGCTGCCCCCATCCTTGGCTCCTGCCCACACGGAGAGAAGACCTGGATCCTGTCCGCAGCCAATTGATCCTGCAGATCAGCGCATGCTGCCCCTAGTATCTCTTCCCCTCCCACTGCCCCTCCTCGCTCCACTCCAGCCACACGGGAGCCTCCTCGCAGGTCCCCCGACTCCCCAGTATCCTCCTGCCTCAGGGCCTTTGCACTCGCTGGCCCCTCTGCCTGCCACAGCTCCCTCTTCTATATATACAGGCTCCCTCCTCCACTCCATCAGACTTCTCTTCAAGTAGCCTCAGTTGCCACCTCGTCTCAGACCCCTTCCCTGGTTCCTTTCTCTCCTGACATCAGCCTGATCTTTGCCTTGGACAAAGTGTCAATGATGCTGTTTTTGCATCTGTGGTGGGCCTGGGCAGTCCCCTCTGCTGTCCGACCCCCAGCCAGATGGACTTGGGCATCAAAGCCCCAGCCAGTTCTGGCCCCAGGCTTCATCACACTCAGGCCCCAGTGTCCCCTGCCCTGGCCCAAACCCTCCCCACAGTGGCCCGGGCCTCACGTGGCCGTTGTCATCCAGTAGGTTGTTGGTCAGCTTGAGCTTGTCGAAGGACACGATCTGACGCATCCACTGCGCGCCCTTGGCCGGCGAGTCGGGGTGGAAGTGCACGCGGCCGGGCGTGGCCGGGTCCGCCTTGCCCGCCACCAGCCAGGCAGAGCTGTGGAAGGCATACCTGGGGACGGAGCGAGGTGGCCAGGGCGCCCCAACTGCACCCCAGGGCACCTACCTCATCTGCTGCCCCCACCTGGAGCCAAGACTGACAGGGGTCACCATCTCCCCTGCTGCCCATGTGCTGGCCCATCTGCGCACGAGGAACCAGAGGCTCCAGAGTGCTGCCCAGCCTGGGGTCCCTGCGGTCGCACCTGCCGCCCTGGGCTAATCCCCCCATCCCTGCCTGCCCAGGATAGACCCCCTGACACTGTTCCAACTGGCCCCTGCTTCACCCAGGGAGCAGGTGGGCTTCTGCTTCCCCATCTCAGTGCCTGAGGTCTGAGCTGCGAGCCCCGGCCAGCCCCGGACCTGTATCTCTTGTCATCCAAAGGCACAAAATCCATGAGCAGGGCGTAGTCAGCCAGCGTGTCCATGCCCAGGATCTTCACCTGGAAGGTGGGGAACATCCTCCTGCGGGAGGGGGTGCTCAGCGGCCCCGGCACGGTTCCAGCCTGCCCCCGACTCCCGCCACCCCCTCACCCCCCGTGCTCACACCTGCCCGCCTTGGTGACGATCATCTCTGTGCCCAGATGGTTGAACTCTTCCCACAGAGCCTTCATCTCCAGCTGAACCGTCACGCTGGACACGCGGGGATTCTTGGGGCCCTGCTCGGTGGCCTCGGTCACTGCTGGGGCCCCTGTGGAACCGGTGGAATGGCCTGATGGTATCATGGATTCTGGCTGGGGCTCCCAGCTGGAGCTGGTCACGGGCAGTGTGTAGGTCTCTGAGGGGGCAAATACCCCGAGGCTAGCAGACAGGAAGGCTGGGGAGAGAGGACAGGATGTGGGCCTCTGTTCTCCTCACCCACCCCTATTCCACCCGGCCAGCCTTCATCTTTTAGGCTGCACCAGATGCCTCTTCTTCCAGGAAGCCCTCTCTGATTGCCAGGCCTGTGTTCCCATAGGATCCCTAACTCAGCATCACTTCATGAGGTAAATGCTCATTTAAAGCTTCTAGAGGCCAGAGACAGGCCCTGTCTGGCTTCCCAGGGAATCTTTGAGCCATCAGGAAGCCATGTGGCCTTGAGCAAATTATTTCACCTCCTTGAACCTCAGTTTCCACATCTGTCCCAAGGAGTTCTTAAATCTGCCTTGTTGGCTGATGTGAGGGTTCGTGGAGACACACACAGGGCCTGGCACACACTAGGCCCTTCAGAAAGGGCCTTGTTATGGACGATGGTGCAGGTGGGGTTGTGAGGGGTGGGGTGGGGGGGTCTTTCTCAGCTCTCTGCAGACCTGGCTGCCTCGTGCTGCTTAAGAGAGTACTGAGCTGAAGGAGGTCCCCAAATTACTGTGGGTCACTCTTGCCCATCTCTGACCCTGAAGTGATGTTAGTCACTCAGTCGTGTCTGACTCCTTGTGACCCCATGGACTGTTGCCCACCAGGCTCTTCTGTCCATGGGATTCTCCAAGCAAGAATACTGGAGTGGGTTGCCATCCTCTTCTTCAGGGAATCTTCCCCACCCAGGGATCAAACCTGAGCTCTCCTACACTGCAGGCAGATTCTTTACTGTCTGAGCCGCCAGGGCAAACGCCCAAATTCTGCCTCCAGAAGCCAGTTCTAACGTCTTTCCTCTCTGGCCTCCTCAGTTTTTCCTAAAGGGCCCCACTTTTAGGCTTTCCTGGTGGCCCAGTAGTTAGGAATCCAACTGCCAGTGCAGGGGCTACGGGTTTGGTCCCTGGTCCAGGAAAATCTCACATGCCACAGGGCAGCTAAGCCTGCTGTCACAACTACTGAAGCCCACGGGCCCTACAGCCTGCACTCTGCCTCAAGAGAGGCCACCACGATGAGAAGCCCCAGCACCGCCACAAAGAATGACCCCTGCGTGCAGCAACGAAGACCCAGAGCAGCCAAAAAGAAATCTTAAAAAGATGAAAGAGCCCATTTTTGGTCTGCAGACCTGCACATGTCTTGTGCAAAAGTTTGCCAAGGCTCCATTCTTCTTACTAAAAAAATTTTTTTTAACTATAATGAGATACTTTATACCTAGCAGGATGGCTACTACCAAAAACCAAAGCAAGTAACAAAAACAACAATAACAAAAAAAGTGTTACAAGTGTTGGTGAAGATGTAGAGAAATTGGAACCCTTGTGCATTGCTGGTGGAGTGTAAGACAGTGTAGCCCCCGTGGAAAACCACTGATGGTTCCTCAGAATATGAAAGATGGAGTTACTATGGAAAGTGGAAGTGTTAGTCATGTCCGACTGTGTGAGTCTCCTGCGTTGGCAGGCGGATTCTTTACCACTGCACCACTTGGGAAGCCCATGTCTGACTCTTTGTGACCCCGTGGACTACAGCCTGCCAGCTTCCTCTATCCATGGAATTCTCCAGGCAAGAACATTGGAATGCCCAAAAGAACCAAGAGCAAGTACCTGAACAGATATGTGTTCATTGGTATTCAGAGCAGCATTGTTTGCAACAGCTAAAATGTGGATGCAACCCTAGTGTCTGTCCATTTAGGGATGAATGGATAAGAAGAAAGTGTGTATCCAGACAATGGAATATTATTCAGTCTTTAAAAGGAAGGGTATTATGATGCAGACTATGACATGGATGAAACTTGAGGATGTTAATGCTATGTAAGACAAGGCAGTCAGAAGAGAACAAAGACTGTATGATTCCATTCATAAGAGGTGCCTAAAGTAGCGAAATTCATAAACAGGAAGTGGATGGTGGTTGCCAGGGGCAGGGAGAGGGGATGAATTAACATTCAATGGGGACAGTGTTTCAGCTTTGCAAGATGCAGAAAGTTCTGGAGATAGATGGTGGTGATGGTTGCACACTAATAGGAATGTGCTTAATGCCACTGAACACTTAAAAAATACTTAAAATGATAGTTTTTATGTTATATATGAAAAAGTGAAAAAGAAACTGTTAGTCACTCAGTCATGTCTGACCCTTTGAGACCCCATGGACTTTGTCTGCCAGGCTCCTCTGTCCATGAAATTCTCCAGGCAAGAATACTGGAGTGGGTAGCCATGCCCTTCTCTAGGGGATCTTCCTAACTCAAGGATCAAACCCGGGTGTCCTGCATTACAGGAGGATTCTTTACTGTCTGAGCCGTCAGGGAAGGCCCATGTTATGTATATTTTAACACAACATTTTAAACTGGAAAAAGCATCCTGAAAAGCAGACTGTTCATTTCTAGCAGCCCCACATGGGTTGAGAACCTAGTAAAACCGTGTGATCCCCTGGGCAGAGGTAGAATTATGGTGCTGGATGGATGGATGGACAGATCCATGGGTGGAGGGAGTTTCCTGGGATGATGCAGCATGTGATGAGTTGATAGGCAGGCAGCACCTGGCCAGAGCCAGTGCATAGTAGGTACCAGGTGAGGGTGTGGGGTCCAAGGCCAGTCGCCCCACCCTTAGCAGCCCTGAGAGCAATGTGTGAGAAGTGACACCTCACTAAAGCCCCTGGAAGCTCTGCAGTCTGGGAATGGGTGAGTCTTACTGAAAGGGGATGGGCCATATCAGGTCTAAATCCCCCAGAGATGAAGGGTGGACAGGCCGATGTCCCTCATAACCTGGACCAGGCCATCAGGTGGGCAGTTAGTTGCCCACCACTTAGCTGTCCTGCTGGGGCAGGTACATCATCCAGGTAATCCACGCCAGCCCCAGAGTCTTTGGTGATGTGTCCCAAGGGGGAGAGGCTCATGGTTTTGCTGGGCCTGGGGACTTTGCAGGCTGGTTACTGGCTCCCCAGTCTTTTCTGAGCCTATACCCTGCCCCTCCTGGTTCACATGCTGCCCTGTGCCACCCTCAGTAACTCTGGGGAGGGGCCTGTCCTTGCTCAGTTCCTCTGAAAGCCAACACCTCTTGATTGCCAATTTCCACCGACATGGAGTCAGATTTGGAGCGGAAGCTAGAGGCTCCTTTTCCACCTTGATACTCAAGGGGTGAGGCCCAGAGAAAGGAGGAGCCAGGTCCCCCACACCTGATAAGGCTTTCACCTCCCAGAAATGACTCTGTCCCGCTGCCTATCAGCACCCCCACATTTGCACTTGGATGGCTGCATGGACCCCACCCTGGTGGGATCCGAGGCCTCCGCCTGGGGTGCCCCTGCCCCATCCTCTGCCCAGGCCCTGGGTATAGTGGGGTTTCCCTGGTCGCTAAGCTTAGACCCTGCCCACTCCACCCACCCCAGAGCCTGAACCCACTTGTGGGACTGCCTTGGCTACCTGCCCCTTACCTGCCATGGGGACAGCCCAGACTTCCGGTTCCTGGAGACGGTGGTTCAGCTGGGGTCCCTGCTTGTCACCAGTGGTCAGCCTCTCCCGGTCTCCTGGTCCATCGGCAGCACGGCTCAGCACTCAGGCCCTCCCTCGGTCCCCAGCCTCCTGGCAGGACTGTCCTTCCCTCCTGGAACGTCCACGTCTTGTTCCTCTCCCAGAGCCAGGCACCTGGTCTCTGCAGGTGGGACCTCAGCCCTGGGGTGTGCAGAGCCCCTTCTGCAAGCCACCCTCAGACTGGACTGCACGAGGCCCCGGGCTGGGCTGGTCCGGCTCCAGGCGCGACGCTGTGCGGGAGGAGGGCAGGTGGGGAAGCTCTGACGTCGCGAGGCTGCCTCTCCCCCTCCCGGTCCCTGCTCCTGGCTTCCTCCCCTCCCCAGCTAGGAGCCCCCCAGCCATTCCTGATCAATGGGCCCAGACGCAGGGCGGGGGCCCACGTCCAGGACAGGCAGGGAGATCCGTAGGGGTCCAGGCCTGGCTGAATGGAGGGGCCGGGGGCTGCCAGGGCCTCGGGGAGGTTGAGGGGCTGCAGAAGAAGCATGGAAGGCTGAATGGCAGAGGCGCTGCCCTCCTCCTAGGACCCAGACTCCTGATCGGGGGCTGCTGTTGTGGAATCACCAGGGAGCTCGGGCCGGAAAGACAAGCGGGCAACAGCCATGTGTATGAGCAGAAGCAGAGCCCCTGGACTGGGGGGTGGGAGGCCAGGTCCTCCTGACCGCTCAGCCCATGAACTGTGACACTGGCAGGACCTGACGGCCCCGTGCCTCAGTTTCCCCAACTGAACTAAGTGCATAATCGCTTCTGCCTGGGATGGGCTGGCCCCGCCTGCGGGGATGCAGTAAGCTGTCCACATCTTGGCTGATGGTGCCTACAGAGTCCCCACAGGGTGGGGGGAGCCTGGCTCAGGTCAGAGGCCTCGGGGGCAAGTCCTGACTGGGCACCTTCCCCAGCAGCCCCTGCCCGTCTGGAGCGGGGCATTCAGGGAACACGCAGGTGGCTGGTCAGAAAGGGAGTGGGATCCCCCCACGCTGCTTGCTGCCATGTGGCCCAGGGCGGGTCATAGGGGTAAGCCCAGGTTGGCCCACTCTAGGGCCCTGGGCCGGGGCACCAGGCAAGAGTGCATCAGGCTGGGCCGGGCATGCCCGATCAGGGTTCCCAAAGTCTACTGGACCCGATGCCTCCTCCACAGTCGAGCTCTGGGGACACAGTGTGACACCCCGGCCCCTCCCAGAGCCACGTGGGGGGCAAACTCTCCTCCCTCAGCTCAGGGGGGCTGCTGCCTCACCACCCCCCCCCACCGTGCCCCAGGTCCCTGAGGCCAGGCTCGGAGGAATGCCGCCGGGAGAGTGAGGGCTGACCCTGGCACAGACCCAGACCTGGGGTCTGCTGCTGCGCAGGATGGGGCGAGTCCTCCACCCTTGTGAGGGAGGGTCCCAGAGGCTCCCAGGGATGAGGGGCTGCCTCGTGAGGTGGAGCCATGCAACCCTGTCCCAGGAGCCACGGTGGGGCAGGGGGGAGATAGGAGAGGTGATGGGGTTGGCGCCTCCTCAGCCTGGACTCCCAGGGGCCTGGGCGTCTATTGGCTTCTGATGTGTGTGTGTGTGTGTGTGTACGCGCTTGCACATGCCTTTGGTCTGTGAGATGGGAAGCCCGCCACATGTACGTAAGTGCACTGGCATGCCAACCCACGGGCACACACAGACTCAAGACTCAGTGACCTGCCACCACTCATGTGCACACAAGCACAAGCTTCTCTGTGCTCAGAAACACACGCTGTCTCTTACATGCGTGCGTGTGCATGCACACACACAGGCACGCCTCCCTTCTTCACAGCCTCTTCCCCAGCCAGTCTGCTCTTCCTGCCGGAGGCGCCTCCTGGCCCCCTGCCCCCTCATCCATCTTGCCTGCCAGCCTGTCCCTGGCGCCCCCATATCCTTCACACCTTCTCATCTCGCTGCTCAATAGCAGGAGGCAGCGCGGCAGCCGTGGCCGCGGGGAGATGGATGGGCCGGGTGGGGGTGCAGTGGGCCCAGGGAGGGAGAGCTGGGGAGGACGGAGCTCTGGGCTCCTCCAGCCCCCCCGTCGGGCAGGAGCGGAGCTCTCAGGCACGGGGGGCGGGGGCAGGCTGTGTCCAGGCTCTGTCGCACCCCGACCAGCGTGGCCCTTTGGTGGACACTGCAGAGAGCGCCTGGTCAGGACTGAGGGGACCCCAGGGGCAGGACTCAGCCTCCCCGGCGGGACTTCTGCCATGCTGCCTGCCCCGCCTGTCCCTCCTCCTTGCAGCCCTGCACCTGGACAGGTGCTCCCGGGTGGGGACAGCCTTGTCAAGCTGCACCCCTTCCCCAGCTTTGACACCCGTGAGTCCCATGAGCACTGGGCTCATTGCACACCTGGAAACACACATCTGGGCTGTGCCACCCACCACATATGGATCCTTCTGGAAGAAGGGCCAAAGTGCTGAGGCTCTCAGAAACGTGTGCTCACACACACAGCGCCTGGACAGGCACATGCCTGGACACCCGCACACGTGGGCACATACACAGCCACACACTTCTGCCCTCCCAGATTGACTCTGTGGTCTTGTGAACACAGGGGGTTTGGAGCCCTCCTCTGGACCATGGCCTCCTCTGACAGCCCCTCTGCTGGCCCCAGGGCAATCTTTCGCCAAGTCCCCCCCCGCCTCTGCCACACACACACACACACACACACACACACACACACACGCACTATGGGATCTTCCCCCTGGGCTGTGATGAAACAGTGTGGGCACAGAGACAGTCAGCCCTGGCCCCAGAACACACAGCAGGTCTAAGACCACCCTGAGCCAGACCTGCCCCAGATCCCGAGGTCACAGAGAGAGATCCTTTCCCACGCAGGAGAGAGGACAGGAGCCGTGGACCCCTGGACACCTTCGATTTTATAGAATGGGAAACTGAGGCATGGAGGTGCATGGGTTTGGCAAAAATGTGGCACACAGTGGGGGTCAAAGGGGGGGCCTGGGCTGCAGATTGTGTCTCAGGACCCACTGTTCAGAAGGGAGGTCTGAGGCCGGGCAGACATGGCCTGTGTTGGGGACCCAGGCTGGGCGGGGGCCAGTGTGGGCAGGGCAAGCCTGGAGAACGTGAGCTTCTCAGTTTGAATGAAGATAATACCCTTCTCATAGTCGGCAGCCGTGTTGATGAAACGGGGTACACAGTGGGCTCCCCCTCACAGAGCATGTCCTCACCACTGAACATCTGGGAGACGAGTCACAGTGGCTGGAAGCCTTGGTCCTGGGAGAGGACCCAGGGCCAAGGCTGCTGGGGCCAACCTCTACCCTGGCCCCAAAGAGGGCAGCCCAGCAGGGCCTGCCAAGAGATGCCCCTCACTGATGGCCCTGCCCACCTGCTCCTTCACCTCCTCAGTCAGCGCAACAGGGTGTCTGCTGAGACATCAACTGGCTCTGTGTCTAGAAATGGAGACACCGGTCACCTTAGAAATTTGGTTACAGGCACACTGAAGCCTGGGTTCAAAGCCTTGCTTGTTGTGTGACCTTGAACAATTCATTTAACTTCTCTGTGTCTCAGCTTTCCCATCTGTAAAACTGGGATTATACTATCTCCTCCTATCATCCTGAGGTTTAAATTAAACAGCTAATAGTGCTTAAAACAGGGTTTGGGGGTAATTCCTTGGCAGTCCAGGGATTAAGACTCAGTGCTTTCACTATGGTGGGCTCAGGTTCGATCCCTGGGGAATTGAGATCCTATAAGCTGAACAATCCAGACACATAAAACAAACAAGCCAAAAAAAAGAAAAAAATGGTGTCTGACACGTACTAACTACAATATAAAAGTGTATTAAATAAAAATTTAAATTGTGGGAGAAATCACTCAAAATCACTATTGTTTAGCATCTGCAGGGAAGATGGATCTCTAGCCCCAAACACTGAAAGGACAGTGTTTCTTCCCCCATAATGTTGCAAGTAATGCAACACCTCAAAATAAAACACGAAGATGTAATAAGAGCAGAGAAGTCCAAGTTCTGACTTTTTCTTGTCATTGTTATTTGGTCCTTTAAAAAGGGTCATAGTTTTGAAGTGTCGGCCTCTTCCTAATATTTCTCCTTGCACCAGGTTTTGCTGTGCCCTCAGGGGGAGCTTGGCTTGCCAGATCTCAGCTGCCCCAGCAGGGATGAGCAGGGCTGAGGAAGGAAGGTGGAGGACCCTGAGATGGAAACCCACAAAGGAGGCTGCTCCGGCTGGTCCCTGGGCTCAGGAGTACAAGGGGGGAGGGCCGGTACCAACAGACGGTCCTTGCTGAAGCTCCTCCCACCCTGAAGGCCAGTTGAGGGGCTTTCTGGCTCAGTCACTCAGTCCTGTCTGACTCTTTACCACCCCATGGACTGCAGCACACCAGGTTCCCCTGTCCTTCACTCTCTCCCAAAGTTTGCTCAAGCTCATGTCCATTGAGTTGGTGATGCCATCCAACTCAATACATGAAAGTGAAAAGTGAAAGTGAAGTCGCTCAGTCGAGTCCGACTCTCCGCGACCCCATGGACTGAAGCCTACCAGGCTCCGCCGTCCCTGGGATTTTCCAGGCAAGAGTACTGGAGTGGGGTGCCATTGCCTTCTCCCCAGCTCTCCCTGGGGAACAGTTCTTAAACAGGCTAGGGCTTTGCCCCTGGGACTGCAGGACCCGAGGGCGACCCTGGAGGGCAGGAGTGTTGCTTAACAGCGACCCCATGTGGCGGAAAATAGAGCTGCGGCTGGTGGGTTGCCCCTTCTTGCCAACCTCCTCCCCGCCGGGTGTAGAAGCAGGATGACCCAGTTCCTGTAACAGAGAGGAAGGGGACATCGGGAGAGTGAGACGCTGGACTTCCTGCTAATGCTCATAGGGATGCTCACAGAATTCACGGGAGGTTTTAATGAAAGAGAGGGTTCTGTAATTGCCCCTCCCAGCAGGCGAACTGGGTGGTGCCTGCTCCACGCCCTCTCCCTTCCACGGTGAGGGACAGGGTGTCCAGGCTGTCAAGGCGCCCCCTCCTGCCCTCTGCCAGCACTTGGGCCTGGCGCCAGTGCCAGGGTTGCCTGAGCAGCTCCACACACCCGGTGAGCCGCCCCGACCCGGCGACGAGACTCGCTGCTGGTGCCCCGAGAGGCCCCGCCTCCCCGGCAGTGACCAGGGCCGCGGCGGCAGTGAGATGGTTGGCGTCTGCCTGGCCGGGCACCGGCTGCAGGCCCCGGGGGAGCTGCAGAGACCCGGCTTCTCCGCCCGGCCAGGGCAGTGGCCTGCTGCCACCGTGAGGTAGACCCGGACCTCACTCGTGTCTCTACCAGTTCCTAAATGTATTTGTGTGATGCTCTAGGGCCCGAACCGGCGGGTGTCCAATCTGAGCCCACCGTCGTCCTGCTGGTCTCAAGGGACAGGAAAGGAAGGATGAAGACTAAGCCCCCTGCGCCTGGCCCCAGGCTCAGCTGTCAGGGAGGCGTGGCCCAGTGTTCCTGAGGAGAGAGGCCATGCTGGGAAGTGACCGTCAGGTCACCAGTGCCTACTGGGCGCCCATGCTGGGGCCCTGAAGCTGGGTCTCCCCCGGGCGGCTGGTCCCAGGCCTTCTTTACGACCAGCCCTTGTCCTCCCAGGAGGTCTCGGCCTGGCTCCAGAGCCAGGCCCAGCAGCCGGGGCTCCCTCCGGGCCAGCCCTTTCTGCAGCGCCCAGCTCACACGCTTCCTGCTGTTCCACCCTCCATGCAGACAGCGGGGCCTGTGGGGCCTGTAAGGCTGCTCCGTAGGGTAGCTGGCGGGGGTGGACGGGGTTGAAGTGTGAGGCTGGGTCACCCAGGGGGGCGGGGGTCCCTGCTAGCGCCCTCCAGGGGTCTGGAGCCTCGGCAAAGGGAGGGCAGAGACCTCCATTAGGTGCTGAGTCCTGCCCCAAGGCCACGGACACGGAGCCCAGAAACGAGGTCAGCTCCGGACCCGACAGGTCCCCTTTGTTGCCCAAAGCCCCCCTACCCCTGCCCAGCATCACTAATAGGCTTCCTGACCCCAAATTAGGCTAGAATGCACACCCCAGCAGTCCCTCTCTATGCCCTAACCAATCACCTAACCTTCTAGCAGGAATTTTGTCTTGAGGCCATGAAATTGGCGACTAACACGAGAAAACTTTCGACTCTCCCTGGTCTGTCAGGAGGTCAGCGGGCTGCATTTGCAGTGCCCTCATTATCTCTGTTCCCTGCTCTTCATAAATTCAGCCCCTTCTGCAATGCTCTGTGCCTGGAAATTCTTTTCCAACCCACACTCGGGTTGCCTCAGCGTTAAGGTCCCGGTCAAGGGCCCTGGAGACCCGCAGAGGAAGCACAGCTCTCACTCCCGCTGCGCTGTGGGGCCGGGACCAGGGCTCCAGGAGGCTCAGCGACTTGGTGGAGCGAGCCGGTGGGTGAGCGTGTCTGCCCGCCTGAGGGTCCCTGTTCCCTGCTTCTCCCAGGGTGGGGGCCTCAGGGACCCACTTTGAGTCAGAAGCCACAGACTTTGTTTGAGGGGCCCGCCCAGGCCACTGGGCCTCCTGGGAAGGAAGGAGGGCCTGATCAGCAGCCCCCAGCTATGGAGGGCAGTTTCTGGAGGCCCGAATGCTTCCTGTCAGGAGGTGGGGGGCCCCCTGCTCTGGGGAGGACAGCATTAGGGGGTCCTGGAAAGTTCAGTTCCCCTGGCTGAGGTCCGGCTTCCGTGTTTCAGAAGGTGTGTTTGTATATACATATATTTTTAAATATTAATTTATTTTTGATATTGAAGGATAGTTGAGAGGGCCTTTAGACAGCAAGGAGATCAAACCAGTCAATCCTCAAGGAAATCCATCCTGACTGTTCATTGGAAGAACTGATGCTGAAGCTGAAGCTCCAATACTTTAGCCACCTGATGCAAAGAGTCAACTCACTGGAAAAGACCCTGGTGCTGGGAAAGATTGAGGGCAGGAGGAGCAGGGGGTGACAGGGGATGAGACGGTTGGATGGCATCACCGACTCGATGGATATGAGATTGAGCAAGCTCTGGGAAATGGTGAAGGACCCACAAGCCTCGTGTGCTGCAGTCCATGGGGTCGCAGAGTCAGACACAACTTAGTGACCGAACAACAACAGGGTTGAATCACAATGTTGTGTTTTATGTATATATATTTCAAATAATTTCCATTACTGTTTGTCACAAGATATTGAATATAGTTCCCTGGACTATATAGTAGGACCTTGTGGTTTATTTTATATATAATAGTGTGTATATGTTAACCCCATACGCCGAATGGATCCCTCTCCCACTTCCCTTTTGGCAACCATTAATTTGTTTACTACCTCTGTGAACCTGCTTCTGTTTTGTAAATAAGTTCATTTGTACTATTTTTGTGGTTCCACATGTAAGTGAGAGTGTGTAGCATTTGTCTTGGTCTGACTTACTTCACTTAGTATTAGTGAATATTAGTATTAGTATTAGTCTAGGTATTTCATACTTTTTATGGCTGAGCAGTATTTCATTGTGTATATATGTACCACATCTTCTTTATCCATTCACCTGTTGTTGGACATCTAGGATGCTTCCATGTTTTGGCTATTGTAAATAGTGCTGCCATGAATATTGGGGTGTATGTATCTTTTTGAATTAGTCTTCTCCAGATATATGCCCACTAGTGGGACCGCTGGTTCATACAGTTTCTCTAGTTTTAGTTCTTCTAAGGAACTGTTTTTCATAGTAACTGCACCAATTTATATTCCCACAAAAAAGTGTAGGGGAGTTCCCTTTTCTCCACACCCTCAGAAGGTATTCATAGATGGAAGGGCATCAGGAAACTGGCACAAGAGCCCCCAGAAACAGCAGCCTCCAGCCCCAGCTGAGTGTGCAAGTGTGTGTGAGCACTGATGTCTGCCTGTCTGAGGATCTGTGTGTTCACATCTGTGCTATGTCTACCAACACGTGTGCATGCCACAGCGGTGAGAACAGTCTGGAGATGGGCCGGCTGAGTTGCCCCTCTGAGCCCCAGGAAGTAGAGGGACCCCCAGGTCCCACTGGCTCCGATACCCGCTCCCCGACAGGCTGTGTGACCTGGGGAGTCGGTGCCCTCCCTGGGCCTTGGCTCCTGCCTGTGAGATGGGAGTGAGGCTCCCTCCTGGGTCGGGGCAGCTGAGAGGAGTGAGGGGCGAGGGGGCAGGTGCAAGCTTGGAGGACAGACACGGGCACAGCAGACCCTGGCCTGGAGGGCAGAGACGTCTCCAAAGGCCCACGTTCTTCACTGCAGTTGGGGAAACAGACCCAGACAAACCCAGCTTCCCAAACCAGGTATGGCTGGAGCTGTTAGAAATCACTGTACTTCGGGAGCCTAATTATAGATCTGATGTGAGAGAGGCCTTCCTAACCACCAGGGCTGCTCAACCTAGGGGGTGAGCTCTCTGTCACCAGACATGTTCAAGCAGAGGGTCAACAAATCTGTCAGAAAGCTGCAGAGGGGACTCTGGACCGGTGGCCCAGAGGCCTGTCCAGCTGGGCGTCTGTTCAGACAAAGCCCCAAGGGCAGGACCTTTCTTTTCCTGGACAGGACGCCTGTCTTTTGGGGTCCACTGAGCACCCAGGCAGCAGCAGGACAGAGGGGTCGTGGACAGAGACCTGGAGGCGGGCAGGGTGTTCACAGCAGGTTGCAGCTGTGGCTGCCCAAGGCCCAGGTGAGCAGCTTCTGTCTGCAGTCAGAATAGGGTGGGTAGCGGATGTTCTTCAGCATCTCCAGGCCCGAGTGGGAGAGCAGGCAGGCGCGGTGGTGGGAGAAGGTGTCGAAGGAGAACTTACCGTGGTACCTTCCCATCCCACTTTTGCCTGCAGGGGCACGGAAGTGAGGGTCTGAGGCCAGGCCAAGGAGCCTGCCACCAGTAGCAGCAGCCCACTGCCCAGCAGGGAGCCCAGGCCATGCTATGAGCCCTTTTGCACAGGGAAACTGAGGCCCTGAGAGACCAGGGGCCTGGATCGAGGTTGAACCATGAGTGAAGGCCAAACTGAACCTTTCTGGGTCTGGAGTGCCCACTTGGGCTTCCCTGGGAGTTGGGGCTGGAGGGTGAAGGAGGGCAGGGCTCACCGACTCCCGAGAATGGCAGGGAGGTAAGAGTCAGGTAGGTGAAGCCTTCATTCCCTGCAAAGTTGCCGCTGCTGGTCCTGTCCAGCATCTGGTTCACCACCTGGTGGGAGGGGGAGGCCGGGGTCAGGGGTGGAGCGTGGGCTCCTCATTCCACAGTGAGCAGAGGCGCCTCCCGGGTCTCCATCCTCTGCTGAGTGAGCGGCGCCCCTCTGAGTTCACGAAGAGGAGCCCGCAGGAGCCGGAAGGGCCAGCCGCCGCAGCAGACAGGCAGCCAGCGTGGCTCGGCCTGCAGGGTCCCACCTTTGTTCTGCCCCATCCCACTTCGGGGGCTCTGAACACCCATACAGAACTTTTGCACGACTTAAGAAAAGAGGGGTGTTTGGGGCAGGGCAGATAGAAAGGGCACCTCCTCGTCTGAGTGAGGCTGACCCGGCCAGGGCAGGCAGCTGGCCACCCACCCGTTGGTAGGTTCTTGGTGCTGCTCCCAACCCCATCGCCGTCTCAGCTGGACACCTGTGCTGAGGGAGCCGTTGTCCAGTAACCTGGATTATAGTCACCCTGGAGTTGTCTGCTCCCTGACCCTTGTAAGTGGGTTGGGAAAAGGGAGGTGGCTAGTCTCACCCCTTTGGGCCCCTCTGTTGCCCCCGCCTGCGTCCAGCCCCACCTGGCTGCTCTTGGAGAAGACGTAGAGGGCCAGGGGCTTCTCCCGACGGTTGATGAAGTCGATGGCCTGGCCCAGGCTCCTCACGTTCACGATGGGCAGGATGGGCCCGAAGATCTCCTCCTGCATCACCGGCTCGGTCTCCTGCACGTCCACCAGCACCGTGGGGGCTGCCCGGGACAGGGGTCTGCTCAGCCCAGGGGCGGGGCCTCTGGCGGGCGGGGCCTCGGTAGGCGGGGCCTCTGGTGGGCAGGGCCTCCGCGCAGCCTCCGGTAGCTGGGGCCTCTGGCGGGCGGGGCCTCGGTAGGCGGGGCCTCCGGTGGGCGGGCCCGCGGGAATGTCAGGGCCCAGGATCCCGGATGTCCCAGGGACGGTAGTCTCCCCACAGCCCCCCGGAAGTGACCACGAGGGGCTCCCCAGCCTGACCGGGGCCCATGGGTCCCAGAGAACCACTCAGCCTTGGTCTCACAGTCAAGAGGATGACCCGATCTTAGACTCCAGAGTCTGAGGCCCCAGGTCCCAGCCTGTTAGACCCTCCGAACCGTTTGGCCCAGGAGACCGGGGTTATTTGTTCACAGCAGAGCGGACGCTCAGGACGGGCTTTGGGAGCTGCGAACCTGAATCATGGGCACGTAGCACCTGGGGTCGTGTGGCCCGTGGAGCAGCGGGTCGTGGGGCTGAAGTTGGGAAGCTGAACCTAGAACTCTGGGATCTGAGCTTGGAAACCTAAATAATCCTAAAGGAAATCAGTCCTGAATATTCATCAGAAGGACTGATGCTGAAGCTGAAACTCCAATTCTATGGCCACCTGATGCAAAGAACTGACTCATTGGAAAACACCCTGATGTTGGGAAATGTTGAAGGTAGAAGGGGACGACAGAGGATGAAATGGTTGGATGACATCACCGACTTGATGGACATGAGTTTGAGCAAGCTCCGGGAGTAGGTGAGGGACAGGGAGGCTTGGCGTGCTGCAGTCCATGGGTTCGCAAAGAGTCAGTCACGACTGAGCAACTGAACTGAACCGAGCTTGGAGAACTTGGGCCAGAGTGTGGAGTTGTGGGGTCGCGGGCTCAGACCCCGGCAACAGGGAACACCAGTGTCACGAAGTCGAGGCACCAGGCTGGGCTGTAGCGGTGGGGTCGGGGGAGCCTCAGAGCCCAGACTCGGGGCCCAGCTGTGGTCTCCAGCGTGGAGGGCCTTCGCTGGGGGTGGGGGGTG